AATGGTGTTCTTGGCTTAACAGGAGAAGTTACCTCGGTATTTTGTTGCTTCCTCTTGAGATAATCTCTCAAGTCCTCTTTGGTCCGCCTAAGAGCTCGGCTATCTCCTGATTTCAATCTCTTTGGTGCACTATTGCCTGTGTCATTGTGAGTCCTCTTGGTCCTTTTTCCATTGGTTGCGTCGAAGCACAACTTCTGCCCTTGGATATGTCGATGCTGTTTGGGGTCGGCTTTCCAGGTGCGATGCTTCCTTCTTAATTCTTCCCTTCTTGACTCCCCTCGCCCAACCTCCCTTGAAGGTCGGTGAGAGTGTTTCTTAGCCCTGGTGTGCTGGAGGATTGTAGAGACTGTTTTATGCCCTCTTTTTGGGTATCTTTCTTTGCCGCTGGAATCGGCGTATCTTGTAGTGGGTATGGTGGCGGCATAACGTTATTCTGCATCATGAAATTGACCACTGTTTGCAGGTTCGCCAATTTGTTTTCCATGGCCTTTACCTCATCGTCCCTCCTCAGGCATCTTTCTTTCCATACCTAGAGGTCGTCCTCATTGTAGTACCCGCTTCGGTTCGTTTTCTTTGGTACGCCGCCTTCCTGGCCAACGTCCTTTTCTTCGTGATTCTTATCACGAGTCTCTTCGTTGTAGTTGTTTTCTTCGACGTCAAGGTCAATATGTTTTCCACTCTCAGTAGGGGTGCCGTCCCCAACCTTCTCTTTCTGTCCGTCGTTGGCTATCTATTCTCCTTTTTTTCCCACAGACGGCGTCAAATTGTGTGTGTCAATTACCGATCACACTGCCAAATTAGTACTTAGCTGGAGAGCACTAGCAGAATAGATTAAGCCCGAACGACCTGCAACAGAAAGAAGGGATTCCGGCGGTGGTTCGTCCACCCGGGGTTACTCCGACGATCAAGTCAGTTATCTCTCAAAGATAGCAAAAATGCTTAACTCACTATTCAGAATATAAATTGCGTACCTTAGACCTATGGGGGTGCCTCTCTTTTATAGCCAACATAAACCTAGTCCTAATAGAAGCCTAGCTTCAATAGACTTTAGCTCAGTGCTTATCTTGGACTCTCCAATAGATAAAGATAAACTCCCTAGGTGCTTTATCCTTATCCAGGCTAAAGTCTTTCCTCATTCTAGGACTCTTGTCCCTTATCCGCTTATTCCGGACTCCGGTATCTTTAGAGATAACCTCGGCCTATCGAAAACACCTCGGCATTATGATCGGGACACGTGGCACTTCAGCTGACACTTCGACATCACCTTAGTTACGTGTCATCATTCTAAATTTACGTCTCCACAGAAGGAAAGTTTAATACTTTTATGATGATTTATATTTGTCCTCCATTATGAATGTTGATCTGCGGAATAAAAGAATTATTATTTTTGGACAATGGAGAATCATTCAAGCAAACATTTTGCAAATGAGAGGAAAACAAGTGTTGGAAAACATTTTAAAGACACCTACTTGAAAATTCATTGAATTGGCCGCTAAAACCCAAGTTAAACTAAAGGCTCTTGTTTGCATGCTCCAAACAAATTAATGCAAGTCAATCACATGCTTCCATTGTGAAATAAATATAAATAAATGCTCAACAAACAGAGAAACAAAATCGCTACGGTGTTTGGTTGGGGGATTTGGAAAGAGATTGGAAATGGAAATGGAAAATGTGTGTGAAATTGAGTGAAATATAAGTATATTTTATTCTCATTTCACCTACATTTTTTCTTTTTCTTTTTAATTTTCTTTTCAAATCTTCCAATCAAACTCAGTGTTCTAGAAATAAATGAGAAGATGGAGCGGAAAAAGAAAGAGAAAAAAAAAGAAGTAGTAAAGGTCATTTATCACCAACAAAGTAAAAATATGAAAGGGAAAAGGCTATTAGCTATCCAATGTGTCGTGATACGGTAAAAGTGACTTGAAATTTTAAATATTTTGACATTTTTTCCATTTTATTATCTATTTGGTGAGGTTGTTGTTAGCATGAACCATATTAAAATAAGAAATTATTATGCCTAGAAGACTTTCATATAATAAGACACAAATATGAAATAAGTGACCAGTTTCACGTATGGTGGACCCTACATGTGGAGTCTTATTTTGTAAAAATGCTTTGTACATTAGAGTATTAGGAATGAGATTTTTTATCCATATAATTCACCTTCTAATATTTGATTATAATTTTTGTTGTGTGAATTAAATTTCAATGGACATTTTATTCAATAAAATTGGCGAGTTTTTTAATTCTACAAACAATAAAGCAAAACAGATATATAATTAGAATTATATATTTTCATATTTATTACAAAATACATGCAGATAAAAATGAGTTATTTATCTTACTAATATAGTTAAATAACATTCTATACTAATCTTATGGATTATTAATTGTTACACTATTAATACTGCTAATTAAATTAGGACTTTTTGAACCGAAAAAAAAAAAAGGACTTTAAATTTGCTTAAGAACAATGAATATTTTATTCAATAAAATTGGCGAGTTTTTTAATTCTACAAACAATAATGCAAAACAGATATATAATTAGAATTATATATTTTCATATTTATTACAAAACACATGCGGATAAAAATGAGTTATTTATCTTACTAATATAGTTAAATAATATTCTATACTAATCTTATGGATTATTAATTGCTACACTATTAATACTGCTAATTAAATAGGACTTTTTGAACGAAAAAAAAAAAGAAAAAGACTTTAAATTTGCTCAATAAGAAAAGGAAAAAAATTATAAAATTTAATGAAAAGCAAAGCACATGCATTGAAGGAAACATAGACAACCACATGTGCTCTGTAATGTCCAAAACTGTAATAATCAATCATAAAAATCTCTTTCATGACAATGCAAAAGGAATTTGAAATTTTAGGTGGACACTAGCATGGACTGGACATCCATGATTCAAATGAATTATAGAGCAACCAAAACATTGCAACATTTTGCATATTATTAGCCACATGGAAGAAGAGAAAGAAGAAGCAAAACACAGCTTATGGAAAATTGTAAAAGTTAACTTTTAAGATTATTTGCTTAAAATGCTTGGAAGAAATTATAATATTCCCTTTTGAATAACATGTGAAAAAATTCAAAGTGTTTGGAAAATAATATAAAAAAAAGTAATGGCACCCAAATAAAAAATTCATATATAGTGCCGTGATTCATTATGAATTTTAAACATTTTAAGATTATTTGCTTAAAATGCTTGGAAGAAATTATAATATTCCCTTTTGAATAACATGTGAAAAAATTCAAAGTGCTTGGAAAATAATATAAAAAAAAGTAATGGCATCCAAATAAAAAATTCATACATAGTGCCGTGATTCATTATGAATTTTAAATAGAACACTATTGAAAATGAGTTTATTTACGATAATGATATTTGTCATATCATTCTTGTGAATTTTTTTTTTTTGTTTTTTTCATGAATTATATGTATGAACTTTTTAAGTGTTGAGTCCAAAATGCTTGTAATTTTTTAAAATGTACACTCATAATTATAAAAGTATTGAGCACTCGTTTTGCCCAATGTGAAATTAAAATACATTCTAGTAGGATAGATATTTTTTTTTCCACAAACATGGAGGACCCTTATACCTCCACAATTTTTCACTTGCACTCACCACAAAATGACATGTACCTCACATACTTTTATAATTTTCTTTCTATGCCCCGGTGTGTTGTAATTCCGCCATAAAAAATAAAAAAAAATGATAATAAAAAAAAATAACTAGAAATAAACAGATATCTTAGATACCTTGGTTCATTAGAATGAAACGGAATAAAATGATCTTTTCATCAAAATATTTATTTCCATATTTAGTTGATTAAAAACATAATGACAAAATACATTATAAATGGTATCATTCATTCGCCATTTCAAAAGAATGATCATTTCATATGAGAGCACCTAAAAATAATCATTTCTTTCCACTCCAACTCATTTTGCTTAACCAAATAAGGCATAAAAGTAAATTGATTAAGTTACAGGAGAATTTTAGAAAAAAATAATTTCAAAATAATCGTTGTACAATAAGATTTACTTGCACAATCTCATGTATATATTAATTATACTTCTGTTATTTTAAAATTATATTTTTACTTTTTACTTTTTTAGAATTCTCCGTAAGTATATAAGTTAAATATAATAAATAGTACCAAACACTTTTCTTCAACTTTTTAGGAGTTGTTTGGGGTGTCCTAAATAAGTGTACTTTTTGACTTTTTATGAAATATAAATTAGGTATGAGTTGGGTTTGAAATGATGTGATAAAGACGTGATGTGATTTAAATAAGATGATATGACTTAAATAGGATAGTGACTTTTTGAATTTTTGAATTTTTTTGATGATGCCAAACTTGACTTAAAAGTTATAACCTGTCAAAATTTAATTTTAACGTTATTATTTTGACTCCAAACATTGGAAATGTACATTGCATACCAAATCACCAAAGAAACATTATAAATGCACGTAATTTAACCATAAAATTAACGGTGATGTTATATGTACCAATTAATATATAAATTAGTATACCAACTTATGCTATGATATTATTATTAACCACATTTATTATATAAATTACAAATATTCAAAATCATATAAATGATATCACATCGTATATTAGTATACTAGTGTGTATATTAATTAGTACATATAGTATTATTCTAAAACCAAATACAAGATGTGGAACCATTATATGCATATCATTCATTATTATATTTAATTTTGTGATTATATGCGTATATCATTCAGTATTGTATTTAATTTTGGGAAAAATTTTAGATTGGGGATAAGTTCTTCTTTCCAATTCAACAGTGAAATCAAGAATTTATCAATACATCCAGTGAGGCTCTTTTATTTTTTTGGACAATTAATTAATGGTAAGATCAGAGTTGAAAAAGTAAAAAACCATAGTGTTTTTTTTGTTTTTAAGGACTTTGAGTTGATCCACTCACCTCCTCTCTCTATAAGTTGCCCACCAGAATTCATCTTTCTATCACTTTCTCCACCTTTTGCCTTCTCTCTCTCCCTCCCTTCTACCTCCTCCCCTGTTTTTGCTCTGTTTTCCTCTGTTTCCATCCCTTTCAAGTTGTCTGAACCATGGATGCCCTTGAAGCCAAAACTAAGCCAAACCCAACTCTCAACACATCCACATCTTCATTGAAAACCCAAATTTGCTTGAAATTTTTGGCAATTGTGTCTTCATTATCTGCTTTATGTATCATCTTCACTAGCAAGCAAACTATCATGCTTTATGGCTTGCAGATTGATGCTAAATACAGTGACGACTCTAGTTTCAAGTACACATATCTCAATCTTATAACAATTCATCAATTTCTAAATATACATCTCTATACATACATATATATCCTATATGTCGAAGTTCATTGATTCTTTCTCTCAAAATCTCTGTTCTTCTGTCTCTTACGCAATATCGTATATTGAGTGAGTACATTGAGACAGAAGAACAAGAAATTTGGGATAAAGAATTCTGTGCTATGTTTCGAGACTTTTATTAAGATTTCACAAATTTTGTAGGTTTTTGGCTGCTGCAAATGTGATTGTATGTGTCTTCTCTGTGGTATCTCTGGTTGTCGCTGTTGTACTTGCTCGTGAATGCTCGGACTCAAACATCTACTTCTACATGTTCTTGCATGATCTGGTAAAGTTCTTGATCTTGAGCCCACTCTGGTCCGATAATTTTTTAATATATGTGAAATGAATGATTAGTATGTACTCGGGACTAGTCGGTCAAAGCCCAGAGTAACCCGATTACAAAAATAGAAACGGTTGTATTAACTGTATTAATTAATATATTATATCAACTTATATTATGACATTATTATTAATTTTATTCATTATTTAAATTATAAATATTTAAAATTTTTTAAATTATATCATATCATATGTTAAATTATAAATATTTAAAATTTTTTAAATTATATCATATCATATGTTAATATATTAATTGATAAATAATTGGTGAGTTGTTAAAATATTAAAATTGCAACAAATATAAGGTTTTGGTGATAAATGACAAATCAAGTTGACGCAAGAAATCTCAATATTTATTTATTTTCAATATATTGTCGCTTTCATTTCTTACTCTTTTTATAAAATCTTTTTGGATGATGCTTTCCTTCGGTCCAATTTAGGATGTCGTGGCCTACTTTCGCTGATTTCAATTGTTTAATCTTCGGTGAATTTTAAGTAAATTATTAATATAAAAAAATAAAATTGATTTGATTCGAAGATATTAATAATTACATATTTAAATTTATATTTGTCTTAAAAAAAATAGATAATTTACTTTTGATTTTATATTTGTCATATATCATTATTATTTTTTCAAATATTAATGTGAGCTAATTATGAAATTATTGATATTCAATTAATCTAATTTTTTACATAAATAATCTACCTAAAGGAAATTAAACAACTTAAATTAATAAAGTCAACTTCAGGTGAGCTCATAATGATTTAAACTGCATTCTTTTATTCAAGGGTGAGACTTTTCTTCTGTTGGCAGTTGGACTGTAAGGTGTTATTATTGGTGTGCAGTGGGGCTTATTTCGGACATATTTTCTAAGTTGTAGGATTCGTCGAATATATAATTTATTTAAAAAATTATATTGATCAGATATAAATAATTTTTTAATCGGATCACATTTGTATTCATAAATTTTAAAAATAAACCATTGACATAAATATTATCTCATCAAATTATTATCAATATCTAATTAATATAATTTTTTATAAAAATTATATACTTAACAAGTCCAACACATTAAACGTTTTAATTTGTTAAGATGCACCCAAAGTACAGTCCACTGGGCTTTCTTCAAATAGTGAACTGGTGAAAAGCCTAATATGTTCCTTTGTCTTCTTTTAACTTCCCTTATCCCAATGTAATTACTCATGTAAGTGTTGCACATATGAATAAGGAAAATGCATTTTACCCGCAGCTGGGGGTGACACCCAGTGAGGTGTCAGCTGGGGGTTGATCCAAAAAAATAATTTTTTTTTTTTTTTTATTTTCGACCAGTGAAGACGCGTCACGTCACTGGGGCACGACCCCCACCAGGTGCTTGAAGCAGTGTTGTATGAATAATTAACATATGAGTTTTGTTAACGTGTTTGGCGTCAACACATAGGTTAAAAATGTATTAAATGAGGACAGCTAGACTCTTGTTTTTGGGTAAGGGAGGACAACTAGACTCCCTTGTATAGAAAAAGTAAATTTGAAAACTGTATCAACTCAATAAAAAAAAAATTATGATGACGCAATTAATCTCTTATTTTCCTTCCATTTTACCTCTTCGCATTCCTTATTTCATTTATATACATTTTCCTGTGCACTGAGGAGCCCCAAACACTAATGAATAGTACATTTTACCTCTTCATGTTTGTGTCGGTAGTTGTAGTTTTTTTTTTTTCTTTTTGGGTAATTGCATCACAGTGAGATTTTGAATTTTTTTTAATAAATTCATTAAAAAGTATACGATTTTAATTATTAATATTTATAAATTTTTCACTGATTTATAATTATTTTTATAAAGTCACACTGATTTAATATTTTTTCTTTTTTTAAATGGAATTTTGATTTAGATTTGTTAAAATATCAATATCTGATCATCTTGATTTTTTATATTAATATTCTACTCAAGTGAACAGTTTATATTACTAAAGTTTGTCTCAAAATGAGCTTACCAAGTTGAAATTGATCTGGTCAACTTGATAGAATCAGAACTGATTAGGAAACAAATTTATGAATTGAAAATTTGAGAAACCTTGTTGATCGGTTTAAAATAAACTTACCAAATTTAAATTGTCTAAACATTTATATAAATATTATGTATGAATGATTAGGGTTTTGTATATTGATTTCAACATTAAAATAAATAAAACATGCAATTATTATTATTATTATGATAAGGAAATAAATTAAGGTTTTGAAAATTTTGGGAGACAGGTAGTGATGTTGGTGATGATATCTGGATGTGCGGCAGCGTCGGCAATAGGAAAAGTGAGTCAGTACGGGAATACTCACACTGGCTGGCTGCCCATTTGCGACCACTTTGCCAGATTCTGTCACAGATCCACCGTTGCTGTCATCCTCTCTTACTTCTCTTTCCTTGTTTATTTGCTTCTCACAATCTTCTCTGCCAACAACTTGAAGAATTTTATTCCAGTTTGAAAGCTTTTTTCTTTTCTTTTCTTTTCTTTTCTTTTCTTTTCCTTTCTGTCAGTTGAAAGAGAGAGAGAAAAAAGGCTATTGAATGTTTTGGGAATTAATGTAATCTGCATCTTTTGAACTTTGAGATGAATCTCTCTGTACTTTCTTTCTTAGAATAAGAAACTACTTTATGCAAATTTGATCCTTTTCCTTTTTTGCCCAAGGTATTATGTGGTTGAGATTACTTCGGAGAAATTGCAAATGAGTGGTAAGATAAAAAAAAATTACAAAATTATGAAAAAAATTTATTACTTCAATTATTTTAGTTGATAAACTTTATTACTGATTTGCAATTTGTTTTAGAAACTTACATTGAATTGCAATTTTTCCATTTAATTACTGTATTGAGAGATCCATGGATTAGATAAATTTAAAGGGATGTTTGGAAAATGAATATTTTAGTCAAAAAATTAAAAAATAAATTACAAATACATCTTCTGAGTTTTACTTAAAATATGAATTATTCACTTAAAATACGAATTGTCTCATGTGGTTTAAAAAATTACAAATATTTCATTGTTAAAAAAATTTATTTAACAAAATTAATTAAAAAAATAAAAAAATTTAACTACTCTCCTACACAATAATAAAATTACTTAAATTAAATTATTAATTGAAATAAATTTTGACATCATTAAAAATTGTTAATTCACTTGATTTATTAATAGAATGTGCTATTTGTTATGAAATTAAAAATTTCAAAAAGCGGGATATAATTTTCGGAATCATAGAGACAATTTATATTTTTAACAAACTTTAAGAGATATATTTATAATTTATTTAAAGTTACAACATCAATAAATTGCCAAAGTTCTCTCGTAACAAAACTTTCATGCATCAACAATAAACGCATCAATTTTTTTTTCTTGAAAAAGTCAACACACACCACTATTTCTAAAATATTGGTAATAACTAATTTTATATTTTAAACTTTAAAATGATATAATTTTTTATCTAAATATTAATTTTTAATATATTTAGTAATTTTAAAATTCTCTTATCAAGATTTATCATACAATGTATGTTGGCCAGAGATTTTTTAAGTAGTAAAACTTTTATTACCGAAATTAACTTCAACAATAAAAATTTACTCTACTACACAATAAATTTTACTATATAATTTTAGCATTTAGAATGATATTGTGTGGTTGAGATTTTAATTACTACTTTGTGAAATTCACAATTTAGATGAGCCTAAGAGAATATTTGGGAAATGAATATTTTAGTTTTAAAAAAAATTTAAAGGTCAACATAAAAAGTCAACTCAATTTATTATTTTTTTTTATACATCTTTTATAAAAATTCAAAAAAATACTAAAAAATTTAATTCACAAACGAACCTTAAATCACACAATAATACTTTCAAATAAATTTAAGAGCAAATTTTTTGAATTTATAGTATTATTATTATTATTATTATTATTATTATTATTATTATTATTTCATGATCTTATAATGTCAATAGAGTACAATAAAATGATGCAACTAGTATAAGGTAATGTTGCAAACGAATTGAGTCGAGTCAAGTCAAGCTTTGTTAGGCTCGAGCTTGACTCGTTTGTTTATCAAGCTTGATTATCCAGCTCGAGTTCGGTTTGATAACTAATCGAGCTCGAGTTCACCTCAGCTCGTTAATATTAATTAAACTCGAGTTCGGCTCAAAACTCGATAATTAATTTTATTATTATTTACATTGTTTAATTAATAAATGATATATTTATATATATTTATTATTTTAACATATAAATAATATACTTATGTTATTATTTATACATATTTTATATTATTTATTATATAAACAATATATTTATTTTATAATTTAAATAAAGATAAACGAGTCGAGTTTATTCGAGTTCGAACTCAGCTTGTTTATTAAACAAGCCTAAAAGTCAGGCTCAGACTCAAGTTCGAATTCGGCTAGTTTACTAAAACGAGCCTAAAAGTCAAGCTCAAACTTGTTTATTTACTTAATGAACTAAGCTGAGCAGGTGAACAGCTAAAGGTTGAAGATTAGTTTGTTGTAGCTTGAAAAAACAATAATATGCTTTTTAAAAATTTTAATCTTTTGTCTTTAATAAATTTTTTAGTGGGGTTATTACACTTTCCATTCTTAAATTATCGTCAATTTATCTACTTTGTCCTTAAATTATCGATTGAGTCTACTAAGTCTCTAAAATAGATAAATCAAAATTTATTTAATTCTTAAACTATAAATTGAATCTATTAAATCCTTAAAGTATTTCATTCAAACACAAATTCTCAATTCATCCCTTTAACTTCCCAGGGTAAGGATGGTCATGGGTCGGGTTAAGAGTAGGTATATAATAATTTGCCCCGCCCTATATCATATTGAGGGCAGGGCAAATCAGGGGTGACAAGGGCAAGGAAAATCGGGGGTAAGAGGAGCGGGACAGGTGACAGCTAATTTTGTAAGTTTTAGAATGAGAATATTAATAAAAATTATAGATAATATAAGCCCTCTTCGGTAGAGCTTTTTTTTAAGCTAAAGTTTGATAATCAAAAAACATAAGTTAGAAGCACCCTTATCTCTGCTTCTAAATAATCATCTTTTTTAGCTTATATAAGCTATTTCTACTTTATAAACTCTAAATGGAAACATTACCAAATAGTCTAATACAAACTCCTAAATTAAAATAAGTTATAACTACCTAATAATTTATACTTAATGAAAGTATGACATATAAAATAAAAAATAAATGAGTAAAAATTAATATTAAGTATAATATTTTAGTAGAAAAAAATTAAATTATATATATAAATATATTTAATAAATATAATCGAGATGGGGTTTGAATAGAATGAGATAGGGAAAGTAAAATTGGTTCCCACCCTACTTCTTCACCCTACTGGAAAAAATCCATGTGGTGTGGATTGGAGGATGCGGGTGTTGGGACAGAACAAAATGATCATCTATGTCCCAAGGCAAACCACTTTGTGTAGACCTTTCATTTTCTCCAAATATATCAACCATAATTAGACAAAGATTTAATATACCAATCCCATCTACATGACTCTGCAACTATCACACATGCACATGAGCATACATGAAATTTTTTTGTCCCAAGCTAAACTAGCTGCCAATTTCACCCCACCAAAAACGAAGGGCAATGATTTACCTTCTACCTTCTAATGTCTATTAAGCTTTCACCCCCACCAATTTTATATACTTCCATAAAAGCTTAAAAGCTATAAATGGAGAACCTATTTAATTTATATTAAAATCTATTTTTTTATTATTATTTATTCAATGTGGAATTCTATCTTCATACATGCCCTATTAATTTTTCATTTTTTTTATTCTTTACTTGATATGGGACTCTACTTTTACATATACCCTAATAATCTCCCCCTCATGTATGAACCAAATATCGGGAAAACACTTATATCAAGGGATTCGTAATGGGTTGCGTTGACTTGTAATGATCTGAAAAGACAATGATAATGGTTGGTTTGATAATGGAAATATATTTGTAATCATTGTTTCGGTATTGAAATAATGGTGGAACGTGTTTCCTTTGAATTAAGTCTTGAGCAAGTAGTTGCCATGTTAATCCTAGGATAGAATGAACATATTCGGACTCTATGCAGTGGTTTGATTTGACGAGATAAGGTTGAGTCTAGATGGAACATTTAGGATGTAAAACCTTTTTTTTTTTTTTTTTTTTTTGGGAGGGATAAGATTGGGCTTAGGATGATAAAATATTTTTCTTTTGGCCACCCCTTTTGAGGTTCACCGATGGTGCTGCGCAGTATATAATCTTTGTAAGCATCCATCGTAAGGTCTGCAAAGCAACAAAAGGGGAAGTTCTGAATAATCCGATGTCCAATTCTAATAGTTGAGAGGGTAGGTCTCTTTGGGAAACTCTAGTGGTCTTACTAACTTTTGAATGATTATGTTATTTCATTATATTTGCTTAAAGTGCTTCTTGTTGTATTATTTTATGCTTGTGTTAGGTTGGTTAAGAGTTTTGGGTGTGTGTGTATTTACTAAGCATTCTAAGCTCATGGTGTTTTATGCCAAGTAAAGACGAATTCTATGCCAAGGGCAAATTCCCTGGAAATTTTGAAAAAACTTGGTTGCCTTAGGAATTAGGTTATCCGCCTCCGTTTTGGGACACTCTTTTTGTAATAAGAACTTTTGCTTTGTAAATATTAATTTAAAAACTTATGTCTGTAATTAATATTTTTATTTTAGTCACTAATATTTTACTTTGTACTTAATTATATGTAATATATTGTGTGTCCACTAGTTAAAACCTACTATTTTATTTTATTGTGTTACCTTGATGTACCTGAAATTTGAGGCGTCACAGTAGAAGACAAGTAAGAAAATACTATAAATAATTATCCTTACCTATATAAATGAAATTCACCAGAGGAATTGATGCTCATTTTTCAAAAATGAAATAAAAATTTAAGATTTTTTTGAAATAAAATTTCAACTATATAGGATCTTTCACTAATTTATAATACTTATGAGCGTATATTTTATTTTTGTAATCTTTTCAGGGACTAGGGTCCGTTTGGGAAGAGCTATTCCAGGCTTTTTTGGCTATTTTAGTCACAAAAGACAAAATAGGCTATTTTAGTCATAAAAAACAAAATATCACATCCAACACATAATCATTACACTCTTTTCTCACAAAAAAAGTCCAAAAAGCCAAAAAGTCCTTCCCAAACCAAGCTTTTTAGCCCAGGCTAAAATAACCAAAAAAGTCAAAAAGTCAAAAAGCCAACCCACTTCTCAAACGGAGGCTAAATAGGTTTAAATTAAATTTTTTAGGGATCTAATAAATCCAATCGATAGTTCAGGAACTGAAATGATTTTGGCTTATACATATTGTAGAGATTTAATAGACTCAATCAATAGTTTAAGAACTAAATAGACAATTTGATAATAGTTTAAAGATAGAAAGTGTAATAAACCATTTTTAAATTTTATTTATGTTTTTAAAAATAAATTCCTAAAAAAATGAATGAAATAATAGCGAGATTTACAACATAAATTGGAATCACGCATTAATTAGTCTGAGATAAAAATTTAAGTATATAATATTGCTATTTTAGAGTAAAAATAAGAAAATGAATAAAAATGATAAAAAGACCACTAAAAACC